ATCGCTAACTGCTAAACTAAGTTTAGACGAAGCAAGTGGGGGATGGGGGGGTGGGGGGTGGAGAGCAGAGGTAGAGGTAGGAGTGGCTCATGACACACTTTGTTTTGGTCTACAGGCAGTGCACAACAGCGAACCTAGCGGTGAAACGATTTCGCTTTTTGCCCCTTTAACACATTCTGTTGGTGCTGATGATCCTGAAGGTTGTGATAGTTGATTTGTTTCAACTTGATGTACAAGATTATTATATTATTATGGGGGTTCTCAGTGACAATGTACCATTTCACAGGTAGGTTATGTGCCAGACTATTTCTTCAAACCAACCAGAAAAGATCATGTTTTTGCTCAAAATACCCGGGTTTCGGGCACAATCAATACTGGTAAAACAGCACTGTCTTGGTAAAATAAAAAAATTAAAAAATCAACTGCTTTTCATGGTGCTATCTCAGTAGGAAATGCAGCAATGGCTCTGTAAAATCCAACCACTTTTTATGCCACTTTCCAGCAGAAATTCAATAATGTCTTTGTAGAAACCAAATCCCAGCAGGAAACCAAGTGATTTCTCAGTAAAAACTAAACACTTCAAGTGCCACTATCCCAGCAGGAAATGCAGAAATGATTTGGTAAAAATCAACCACTTTTCAAGGCACTTTACCAGAAGGAAACACATCAATATCATTATTATCATATAATATTATGACGTGTGCTGCTGCCTTTCTTGGCCAAGTCACCCTTGTGAAAGAGGTCTTGATCTCAATGGGTCTTTTATCTGGTTAAATAAAGGTTAAATAAAATAAAAATATGTTGGTAATAACCAACTGCCTTTTGTACCACTATCCCAGCAGGAAATACAGCCATGTTTTGGTAAAAAACAACTACTTTTCATATCACTAATCAAGAAAAGCTGGAAAGCCAGCAATTTCTCGGTGAAAACGTTGATAATACCCTGTTTTGGTAAAAATCAACTGCCTTTCGTGCCACTATCCCAGCAAGAAACCCAGTGATGTCTCAATAAAAACCAACAGCTTTTCGTGGCACTATCCCAACTGGAAATACAGTGAGGGGTCCCTATAAAGTGCTCACAGTGAGAGATAAAAAAGCAGCTGGAAACACAGCAATGATCTGTTAAAAAGTCAGTCAGTCCTCGACTATAATCAGTGCTACTGTCCTGGTCCAGTAACTGCCTGGAGGCACTGCCTGACAACTGGTCTCAAATGTCATGTGACTATGGCTGTGCAGGTCCCTTGAGATAATCCCATATCTACAGTATACACACGTGATGGTCAAAGATTTTATTACCAGTATGTGTGAGGAACAACAGGCTTAAACACAAAGAAGAAAGTTACATTGAGTATTAATATCTATGTCAAATCTTATCATGACCTTTGCTGGAGAGTTTCCAATTATCAACTTAATAGCAAAATTACAGCTCAGTATCTGCTGTACTGTTTGAGCTAACTAATGTCACACTGTTGCCAGAACTATATGCGTTGGCCACACTCCAGAGACACTCAGCCACAACACTCACACTGTAATCTTCAATCCTGGCACATGATTGCAATTAAGGCATTTTAACTTCTCATTAAAAGAAACGCCAAGAGTTTCCAACAGTTTCTTTTTAAAAAACATAACAGATGATATATAATTGAGTGTGGCCACAGAGATCAGACCTCGGCTCAGCCCTTTACTTTCATAAAGGCCACAGAAACATTACTGATCATTAATGTATATGAGCTCAAGGTCAAAGCGAAGATTTGAAGGCTTTTTAACAGCTACAATAAAGAAAATCACATAAATAAAAGTATAAATCTATTTTTTGCTCCCAGATGTTTCCAGTCTGAGCTGCGCTCGTGTTTTTAAAGCATCATTAACTGTTAAGTGAAACGTATCCCCTGCACTTTGTGTATGTTTGGTTATCAATACTCCCATTTCATTTCATGAGAAACCTTTGTGGCTTTTTAATAGCTGCTGCTGCACAACCACCATCTGCTTGCAGTTGACCTGATGCACGTTTTACACCACACTGCTGCTATAACCATGGCTGTGTGGTACAAATTGATTCCCTCACGTCATAAAGTATCCATTCTGTGCAATTTACTCTAGTGAGGCTCCGGTGTTATGGGTGGATTATAATAACAGTCCTCTTCATTAGAAAAGAACACTAATGCTGGTGGAGGGGGATGTGGAACGTAGATAATGACCTCTGTAATATGCCAAATTTAAATGATGTCTTGTACAATGGAGTAGCAGAAGCTTAATGTTCTCTTTTATGGAGGCAACTCACTGCGGCTGAAGGTTTTCCTGTCAGATGATCTCTCCCCAGTTCCCATCTTCAACACACGGATATGACAAGGATCTCAACACCTTGTGTGTTTGAATACTCAAAATAGATGTGTTGCCACTCAAAAGGCAAAGCTTTCATCATTTACCTGAGACAGCTGTCAAGATGTGACATGACTTGTTGAGATACAGCTATGATGATCTGATTAGTATTTTAGGAGAGACGCTTTGTTTCAGGCTTATAACGTTATAGATGTGAGCTTGAAACACAAAGTACGTCCTAAAATAAAAGTTAAAAAAAAAATCATATAAATTAAATTAATGCAAATGTTCAGAGTTCAGCATGAAGCAATGTTCATATAGACACTTGATTTTCTTTACATGACGATGGCAACAAAACAGCTTGGACAAAAATAGGGCAATTTGTAGGTCAAAATTAACATCATAAATACTAAATGACATTTCCAGTAACGATCTTTTTTCAAGCATCTACCAGAAGATGTATATAGTTGAAAACAAGCAGCAAAGTCCAGGGCTGAAAAATGAAGCCAACACGGAAACGCCAAAAACTGCAGTTCCTCTAATGGCCACTAGAGGCTGGCTCCAAGAGCGAGTCAATCCCCATAGTCCTCCATGTTAAAATGCTCAACTTTACAGCAGAAAATGTTTACAGCCTGGTACAAAAAACAGTTTTGGTCTCTATAGCTAATTTCCCTGTTTATGACAACTTAGTCTGAGTGGGCGGAAGTTCGCTACATAGATCAGCCTCTCATTGGGCAGAACGAGCCACTCGCTGAAGTCCCGCCCTACCACCTCCGGTTGTGTAGCAGTTTTCAACACGTCCTTTACTAACTTTTGCGGTGTTTGATCTTGCGGGGATGTAGCCATTTTTCTGCCATGGTTCGCGTCCTGTAGGCGATATTTTTCTGGGTGTGTTACACCAAAACCTGTTTCCCCCCGGCAATATTTTTGCAAGCGCACCGTTGCTGGCACCGCCAAGAACGACTGTGATTGGTTGAAAGAAATAAAAAAGCCAGGGCGTTTTTTTCTCCAATCTTAAAGTGAGAGTCGGCGCAGCCAGACCTTTCTTTTCTTGAGAAAGGTCTGGTGAGCGAGACTAATGACAACTATACAGTGGATGAATTTTTTTTAATAACTCACCCATTTACACTTTATTAAGCCTTAAAGTTACGCATATTTTAGGGCATGGCTGCTTTGAGTGACAGGCTGTCTGCAAATCGTCACCTCGGGCACTCAATCCCAACTCGTCAAATACCACCCATATGTCAGCTAACCTAAACATCAAAATGTGACGTGCTAGGTAGTCCCTTGCGTCAATTTTGGACGTTCACAGATGGTGTCTCAATTGACGCTTGTCACATGCACTGTGTCTTTTGAAAATACATTCCGTTTTCACAGGAAATGTACAGGTTCTTCTTATTACATGCATACCATCTTTTTCAAATAAACTTATGATGTTTTTTACATTTATTTCCTTAATTTTAGACAACAAAAGTCCCTGGTTAGGTTAAGATGACAAAGTCATGGTCTGGCTTAAATTAAGTATGGCTGTCATGAACATAATGTCACATCATGTGACATAGGGCGTAACACACATCCTAAGCGTAGTAGGCTACGTATACTAGCACACGACATTGTTATTAAAATAACTCCACTGACTTTTGGTTTTACACAGGAAACAAAAAGCGGGCTCCTGGGTGAAAGTCTGCCGTTTGTTTGACCTATCCACCTCTACTCCCACCCACCCTCTACGGACTTGCTCACTCTTTACACTACAGTAGTTGCCAGCACTGTCACAAATAGCTGCCACCTAATGCGCATCATATCCCCGCAAAATGTGTCTCCGTATGTCAGTGTCTGAAACCGACATCCAATGACAAAGCGACGATATTTGTTGTGGCTGGTGGTGTCAGGTATAACTGTCGCCAGTGTGTATCTAACCGCCGCAAAAGGATCCTCTGTACGTCAGCATCTGATGCTGAAATCACTGACAAAGCGGCTGTATTTGACGAGTTGGGATTGAGAATAGGCTGGGCTTTCAGGCAGATTTACCCCTGACTCCTGCACAGCCTCAACCTCTCGTCCAAATATGGTCACTTTTGGCCCCACCCCACCCCCCCAAAAAAAGATGGCGACAGCTGAAATGCTAAACTCAAGGCTTCAAAACAGGAATCCACACACCAATGGGTGACTTCAAGTGTTACCAATTACTAGTTACCCTGTTAAAACTGTAATAAATAACACAATAACGCAATGTAAGTTATTACATTTGATCACTTTTTGATTACTTTTCTAACAAATGTTTTAAACAGGGCAATACAACTGAAAAATGTCTAAAATACTGGCATGCTGGCCTGCATGTTTTAGATGTTCATCACAGCTGTTTTGTTGCCACAGTCAGTAGGACTGGATTAATTTCGTCCGTAAATGTGTTTTCCAAAACAGCATCATTTAGCTTTTACTTGCTGACAATAATTGTAACACATTTTTTTCATAATTTTAAGTTTTCAAAATAGCTTTTTTTTCTTTTTAATTGTTTAAATTTATTTTCATGTCATTTTTATATCATAGAAAGAAATCATCCACAAATATTGTTCTTAGGTTTTTGTGTACACAGTTAACACTAGCTTAGAGAATTACAGACAACATCAATAAAAATATCTCTGACTGTTTGCTCTCTGACCTCTATGTCTCTCTACCAGCCTCTATAGTGGAGCAGAAGTGGTGGTGTCAGATGCATCCGTGCCTTGACGGGGAGGAATGCAAAGTTCTTCCTGATCTGAAGGGCTGGAGCTGTGCTACAGGGAACAAGATCAAAACTACTAAGGTAGGTTAAAGAAACAAACAGTACCACTTTCAAAAACCATCATTGATAAATGATAAAATGATTGTTAATTAAACTTCAGTTAATAGTTATTTAACTGGTCACAAACAATGACACAATAATTACTAATGGTAAATGATGATATTTTAACACTTTATTGCTGCACACTACATTTTATACATCGTATTAAATATTTGTTAATGGCTTGTAAACTGTCTATTAACATTATTTGGGTGGCTATTATAAAGTTGCACCTGATTATTCTAGCACTAATAATAATTAGTCAATATTATTATTAATTCTATTGTCTTGTAACAGTAAAAAAAACTATTAATTTAAGTTTAATTAATTATTAATTTACCATTTATTAATGAGGGTTATTATTAAGTATTTAACAAGCTAGTGGGCATCACTGCTGCCAAAAAGACGCTGGCTCCACACTGGAAACCTCCTCACACAGTTACAAAGGCTCAACGGATTAACACATACATTGATATAATTACTATGGAGTGATGAGAGTACATGGTGCGCGTACCGATACTATCTCAGCATGGAAAGTGATGGCAAATAAAATCTAGGATTTGCTGTAATCATCATTACATCAATTTTGGTTTATTGTGTTTTGCTTGTATAAATCTGAGGCCAAAAAAAAAAAGTATTACCAAACAAGCACTTTTATGATATTCGAACCTGTTGAATGTGACCTCGCACACTTCAAACTCCTCAAAGTCAACCGGCTGCGGCTTGTCTAACAGTCTTCCTCCCTGCCTTTACCTAAAAACAGCTAGTGTTTGCAGTCGCTGCTTGGACCCCTCTGGGGCCTGTAATCAATGGGCTGCCATGTCTCCTTAGCACTTTCAGGCCACTTTGAGCACCCAAACTGGCCAATTACTCACTCCAATTACCTGCTTTTAACGTTGTAACATGAGGCGCGTATCCTTCACTGTGTTATGACGACCCGTAGACTTCAGTTCTGCCTCTCTCCATGTACTTAATTATTTAAACTGGCCGCACCACACCTGCCTGGAGCCGGGAGCCTGGAGCCTGGGGCTATTGATTCAGGGACTTGTCGGGACCTCAAAATGGGATATATTTATATAATTTTTTTTTCTTTTACTGGTCCAGGGCTTTGAGACGAGCCTGTCTAACATCAAGAGACAGATTTTGTTAATTTTGGTAACTTAGATGATGATAAGGCTGTAGAGTATGAGAATTAACATATCTTTTCCTTTGTTGTCTTCTCTGTGAACGCCTGGAAAGATTTCTGCCGACAGAGACCAGCTTTGGTAACGTCAGATGCTTCGCAGTGCAGTCCAGGTAATAAATCTGCTTTTATATTTGAAGGTTTTACGTCTCTTTTTATTGTGGTCCTAACTTACAAATGAAAAATACAGAGAAATCCCCAGCAGGGACCATTAATGTGTCTCATTATTACCTCATTGCACAAAAAGAATGTGTGCATATTATTTACTACACAGCGTCATTCCTCACTGTCATTAAAACAGACAAGGCAAACGGTATCATTAACCACTTTTCCCAGTGGTGTAACTCCACCAGAGAGAGGAGCACGAGAAGAGGTGTACGATCCACAAAGACAACAACAACCTGTTCAAAGCATCAGCATTACCCAGTGGATTTATCTCGCACACCTTTGAACTCAGCAAGAGAAACAAGTTTCTTAAGTTTTAAATCTTTCTGCAGGCTGCCTGAAGCAGCAGGAGGTCGGACTTTCTTGTTCACCTCTGCAGAGCGTTCGGGAAAACAGCACAACATAAACATGGGACCTCCAGCTATACCGACCTCTGTTGCTCTGTATCATAAATGCATTCATACACACCGGAGACACCTTGAGAATTCACAGTGTAAACAAAGCAGTGACTGGCTACTACAAATCCCACGACACAGCAGGGAATACAGTCTGTCAGTGTGGAGGAAATCTCAGAGTGATGAACAGGGTCTGACATGCAAAGATGCTGAGCTGCAGCATTACAATCTGGGCACTTAGAGCTACAGTTTAAATTGTACATTTTGGACTTGTAAACAGTGGGGACGGATTGATATGGGTAGATAACCTTATTTTAATTTTTTTAGACTAATATTGGGACTGCAATTCTATATGCCATTTTTTTAAAGATCCTTATCCTTTGTATTAAGCAATAAATCATTTTATCGTATGGCCAACACAACGCTAAATACAGTTAACATATAAACTGCTCATCTGTGTGGGCCAGGCCTACATGGTTATGTTGGAATGAGATGAATTGATGCATGAATTGATAAGGATAACACATAAAAATAGAATGATGAGAAAAGACATTGAACTGTTTGCTCTGGTCATTTGATTGGTGCAAAGAACACACTCACTAAGTTTGAGAACGCTTACCCTAGTCTTACACCCATTTTACATATTAAACACAAAAATCCAACTGTACACCAACACAGACTTCTTTCTGACTAACGTTATCTTAATTAGTATGTTAATTCACGGTAAACCAAACTTCACTCGAGCTCAACACAAACAAAATCAAACTCACCAAAACCATTTTTTTAACCAGGAAGTCTGTTCTATTAATGTGTGTTTATTCCTCCTTTTTCTATAAATGATTACTTTTTTTGATGAATGGGATGTTTCCCAGTAACCACGTTAACAGTGAAGTGGCGGTGGGCAATGCAAGAAGAAAAGATGCAGTGTCTTGTTTTGTGTGATAAGTTACAACCTCGTCTACATTTCAATGATTCCTCACCAATAGACAGATACACAGAATAATGTAGTAGTGTTTCCCCTTGCACATTCAGAAGTCATGACACAGATTTGTGATTTTATTATTTATTTTTTTTTAGATTCAATTCTTTTCAATCCAATTCAGTTCAATCCAATTCACTTGTATTCAATTCAATTCAATCAAATCTAATTCAATCCAAGTCAAAAATACCAAAATTGTTTGGTCCCTTTAAATGATTCCAAAATCTGCCTTGGCCCCTGGACTATGTTGATAAGCTAATTTACACATAATACGGCTGCTGTACCTTTACTAAAAGGCTCAAATAAAATTTGCGGCTCCGGACAGGTTTAATTCTTTTGTTTTTGGACCAAAAATGGCTCTTCCGGTAGTAAAGGTTGCTGACCCCTGGTTTATACAGAGGTAAGGCTGCTACAGCAGTTAAAATGGTTGATTAAAATGGAAATGCCCTTTCTTCTTTTGTTCTGTTTCTATGGAATAACATAGTATTATTTAGCTGTGGAATTGTAAAAATCTTCAATCACAGTACTATATTATAACTTGTAACTTCAAGCCTTACAAACATGTAATATTAACATCATCATCATAAACATGTTGTTGACTGCTCCTCCCTCAGCCTCTAGATCGTGGTCGGGAAGCACACAGTCTGCTCCGATCATCGACACCTGTCTGCTCTCAGTGAACCCACAGTTTTCTCTGTCCCACTTGACCACACACACATTATAGTAAACGATGTAATATTTAAACACATGGATTGCACTTAAACCTGCTATTATTAACAGTAACTCACAGAACAGTTCTAATAACGATCCATCATAGAGACAACCATCTCTGAATCTTTTCTAATCTCCTTTCATAGAACTGTGGCACACATTTAAGACTCACTTTGATCACTTATGCGGATAAAAATAAAACGATAATAAAAATAAAATCATAAAAACTAAACTCTGAATTAAACAAGAAGTCCTGCCTGACATTTCTCACTTTTGAAATGCAAATAAAAATGAGGAAAGGGACAAAACAAGTAAAGAAACAAATAAAGAAGAAAAGGAATCCCATTGGTCATGTTACTTAAATCTCTGTGATGTACAAACAACTGAGAGGAATGTTAATGTGCATAAAAAATGTGTAATAAACTCAGTCCACCTTGACCAGATATTTGTGAATTTTAAGGAGCACCTCAGTTTCTCCATTATACATATTTAATGATCTATTTCTGTTCAGTCATCAGTCAAGGGAGCGTCAGGTGGTAGGTTAAAGTATCTTTATTGTTATTTTTTTTGCATGCCAATATTGCCTTTAAGGTTCTACCTTCTGAGTTTATTACTTGTGAGATATTACTTATGCACAGAACATCAGATCTAACAGGGATTAAGGTGCTGAATACCTCCTCTAAAGTCTGCTGTGTACTCTTCCAACAAGTGATCAAAACAAAGCAGCGCCAGGCTATACGGTAATGATTTGCATTATTCATCTGGTATTGCCTCAAACAATCAGAGTCAGTGGTTCTGTGACGCCTCTGCAAAGCTCATAAAAAGTGTTATCTCACGCTGCCACTTGGGCCAATCACGGTGCAAAGTATTCTGTAGTGCAACTTCACATTGAATATTCTGTGACTCAAAGCACTGTTTGCACCATGGGTGTGTTTGTATCAGATGCAGGTTTTCATGTCGTAGTAACGTGAGCCTGACAGTGAAATACAGATTTTTCTTGTCCTCCTGCTATCTTATGTTCTCCATTGCTCATCTACTAAATTAATACTAAAATCAAATTCAAATTAATGCAGAACCACATGTCGCCTACAAATTTCCCTCAAGAACAGTCACGGTAACACTGTATAGGTGAGACACGGATAAAAACGTTTTGCTTTTTCTGTCAGAGTAGGGGAAAGAAAATGTCCAAAATACACATTCAGGTGTTTATTTTAGTTCTGATTTCTTTTCTGGAAATGTGTGCAAAAAGTGCATTTTTAATTAGACAATGCCTCATTAGCATATTTAGACACAACTCAGAAAAGTTGTAATACAAGAAAAAAAATGTCTTAACATGAGTGATCAGCTGAAGAAGTTTCATGGTGATATTTCATAGTTAATTTTTTCTACCCTATTCACCTGTACTGTCTTACTTTTGCTCTAAAAGTCTTTGGAATTTTACAATAAATATCTTTAAAGGCCATTTTCTCAGTTTGTTCTCATACTCTGAGCCAAAAATCTCCACTTGAGTAGTCCTAAGTTTTATTCCAATCTATATCCCTAAGATTTTTTTCGGAGGGGTTTGTTCATATATCATTCATGAACTGATTTATATTTCATTTTATTCCTAAAAAAAAATGGCCAAAATTGATTTTTTTATGGCTGTTGACATTGTTTTCTGATGTATGTAGTGATTAAAAGATATATCTAAAACAGTGGTTCCTACCTGGTCCAGCCACAGGGTCCAGATTTCTCCTTAGTTATTAGTTCAAGGTCCATACAGTTCAATACATTCAGTGTCATACTTCTGGTTGGCCTTGTCGTCAAGCTAGTTTGCTGTCTCTGTTAAGTTGCTGTCTGTTAGTCACTCACTCTGCAGCAGGAAACAGCACAAATAAAAGCTCTGTGCCAAAAATTCACTGTACTTAAAAATTAAGAATGTTTTTTACTAACTTGACACATTGTAGTCCATTCAGAATGGATCCATGACCCACTTCTGGACCGCGACCCACCAGTTGAGAAACACTGATCTAAAAGTCCCCCTGTAAAAATGTTTGACAAAAACGTTTCAACAAAGTGACACAAGAATTTTGAAGCTGGCTTTATCCAATGTTCAGATTTCTGATGTGGAAATAGAGTGAAGCAAATGTGGAAGGTGGACTTTTGCAAGCACTGTAAGTTATTAATAATGCAGTAACACAGTGGATTGGGCTGCACTGCCAGATGCAAATCCAGAGCTTCATTACAGACTAGGGATGTACGTGATTAGTCATCTTAACGATTAAACATCCGCCCCCGCACTAGTCAGCAAGGTAAAGGCTTCAGGAAGTTCATGGAATATGTTGAGCCTGAATACACCGTGCCTAAACCTTTTTTTAGACTAGTCGACAAGTCTTAATTACAATTTTCTTTAGTAAATTAGTTGCCAGGAACATCACTATTACAGACCCCCAAATTTAATGCTAGAAGTGAGGGTTAACGGCTGCACCAAGAACACTGGCCTCATTTGTGTTCCTCACTTGCTACATCTTTTCAATTCCCCCAAAAGAGCCAATATGCCACCAATATGCAAGCTAATAAGCAACTAGTTAATGGTGAATATTTGAACCTTAATATAAAGTACCACAGTCACTGTAAGTTGTGATTTGTGGCAATAGTTACTCAGTAGGCCTGACATTAAAACTGAATTTGATGAACCTGCAGTGTCTCTGCTTTCTGTTTTTGCTGATTTCACAGGCAGATTCTCACATAAAAATCCTGCCTGGTGCAGCTTTAAAATGCCCATACTATGAAACCTCAGACTTGGTAGTCACAACACAAAACATATTGCTGAGAAGGACACTGTGGTGTGCCAATTACACGGCTGAATTACACAAACACAAGCCCATGCACCTGCTGTGTTAAATCTTTCAGCCAACCTCACTTCAGGCACTAAATGGAAATGAATCCTTTGCCAGTTAAATTAGCACTTGTCAGCCACCAATTAAACGAACGCAACACCCACTGAAGACTTAGTTTTCCTCTCAGTATTTTTAGCATTGTTTCAGACAGTCACTCAAATACTGTTAATGATTCCCCCCCCCCCCCTCCTGAAGTGAGGCACGGTGTATAGATCCATCTCTGAAGACATTTTCTCTTCTGACAAGTAGCAGCTCTGCTCTTTGTCTTTTCGGCGTGGAATTATTCTCAAATTAGTACCACATTAATCACAGTGACAGCTGAGAATGTAAATGACTCTGTAAAGGGAATAATTTATTACAGCTGGTACAGGGAACAGCAAAGTGCTGCGACAACCTAAATTTATGGAAACTCTTTACCCTGTGTTTGATATGATTATGCAGGTTTTCTTGTCAAGTGATGGCCTGATGGTTTTTGGATTGTTTTGCTTTTCTGCATAATTGAGGATGATTTATACGACACTGTGCAGCGTGGTGCTGCTGCTCTGGCGTGTTCTGTGTCAAACGACTCATTTGTGAATTAATCTAACCAGGCTGTCAGAGCTGTTTGTTCCCTATCAAAAGTTCAGCATCCATAATGGAGCCTTACAAGTTCGACGACGGCTTCAGTCAGTCCGTCAAACCTACGTGGCAGCTGCCAGACGGTTGGAATCGATAGCGGACGTCATTATGAAGGTTGTTATGTTATGTTCCTCGAGAGCCTTTTCCAGAATGTACTTTTGGAGGAGCAGAGGAGCTGCCAGTCAGCCACTGGGCTTCATGACAGGCAATTTAATCTCAAGGAGAATGGAGGTCTTCAGAGTATCTGACAGCATCGAAAAAGGGGAGAGAAAACCTCGGTGTGAAGCACAAACCCAACTCACCAGCATCCTTCATCCTGAATACTGCCCAACACCCTAACGGAGAGATCGATGTGCTGATACATGAAGCCAATATAAGTCTTTTATGAGATTCTGGAGTGATACTGAATCTGAAAGAATTCCACAACTTGACCTTTATACTTGACTGTTGTCTTTCACTCTGTCAGAAGGACTGCACCACACAGAGAGCAGCCCGACCTGAACCCTGCAGGTTGAGTGGGGCAAGGTTTTTTCTGACACTGGTGCTAAAACGATACTTTTAAAACGGCAACGGTGCTTCAACAGAACTCGAACCTGGACTTCTAAAAAATAAAACACAAACCATGTCAATGACACCCGACACACACACACGTGCCTGAGGCAATGCTCCTCACACGGGCTCTGCAGGTGTGCTATCCTGTTAACAAGGGTGCCAAACCTAGAAGTAAGGGGTTCTGCAACACAAACGCACTGCTCAGTAAGGTGGTGTGGCCTGGGGAGTTTCTTTTGTCTTTGAGTACAGGTTAAAAAAAAAGGCTAAGCTAAAAGGGCATTCCATGACTCACTACGCCTTCTCCGTTTGTATTTTAGTCAATTACAATGTCACATGTCATCAGCTTGCACTGTATGAACATTTACTGGCCCCCGCCCATCCACTGGGCAGGGTGGACCTTGACGTTGTTAGTTTTGATATTCTTTTACCAAAATACATTCTCAGTTTTCAGGCAATTACAATGATGTTTTTCACTTGCTAGCGTCATACAATAATGGCAATATCCATCCAGTCAACATTATACAGTTGGAATAGGTAGTTTAATTTTAACATCACTGGACACAAATCCTATATTGAACTGTAATCACACTGTGATTCAAGTGGTCTGAGAGAAAACTAGACTTGGCTCTTGGCTCTGTTTTCAGGCATTAGAAAATCTAGCCTGTTAGGGAGACTCTGGCCAATCACTGGTCACTTCAATAGAGGGCATTTCTACTCGCAGTTCTAAAAATGCATGCACATGCACGTCCCTTCAGTGAGAGCCTGAACAATGGCAGAAAATCCTGCAGAGAAAGTTGCTATTCCAGCATTGACAACAACTGCAAATTAACCCAAAGAAGGAAAGCTGACTTTAAAAAACAAAAACAGAACCAAAAGGAGAGTCTGACAATAAACACGCATCGATATTGGTGAAGCGATTCAAAGACGATGGAGAAAATTTTGCTGATAGTTTAGCCTTCTGCTAACCGGAGCCAAAGGCTCACAACTGTGGCCCCATGTTCATCACAATGTGTCACTCCCCATCACTACAGACCACCTCACAAAGAAGAGCAGCAGAGAGCCGCAGCAACCCAAATCCAGCAAGCATAAACCCCAACTACAGGTGACTAGACAGCCCAGACTCCCCACTGGATCAGCAAACTTTCTGTTGCTGCCATTACACAGGTTAGACCCTGCAGTATCACTGGCCACCAGCCTGGTGTGACACCTGGCTCTGGAGGTTTTCCACTTGCAAAATTCAAGCCGCTACAGCCGCTGACCCAAGGTCCATCTCCAAAGCTGCTGCCTGCTTTCCTCCTGGAGAAGAAGTAGCGGGAATCAAGGTGGAGGCACCATGGGGTGGCTAGCTAATTCTTGTCTCATTTATGGTCTGATAAACAGAGAGAGAGAGCCAGGCAAGGAGGGGCTGTGTGAAAACACTTCGGTCAACTCTAGAATGAAATAAGATTAAATAAATCAATGTATGGGAAACACTGTATTAAGTGTGCACATGTCTTTGATTGTCTGGTGGGAGGGGCTTAGGACAGAGAGGGAAGGGCTTGTCCACATTTCTGTCTACCCCAGCTTTAATCAGGAGATTCCCAAATACAATGACAAAAGCATTCCTGCTCCTAATAAGACAAACCCTTCTGAATTTAGAGACTCCATGGTCTAGACCTGTAGCACCACCCTTATGATAAACTACTTCTAAGTCTCCACAAAAAGAAAACTGTGAGCATGCAGTTTGTTTCATACAACTCTTCTCCAGTATGAAGCCTCTTAAGGCCTCTGGCTGGGGTTTTAGACCTTTAGCCTTATTTTTCATCTGAAGATAATGAGCTTTCTCACAGTGGCAACCATTAAAAATAAACTGCAAGAATAAAAAGTGTTGAAGTGTTGAATAATGCATCTGATTTTGTAGCTGCTTTGCCAACAGCTTTGACATGTCAATCAGTGTGGGCGGGAGTCTCATGTCTTCCTTCTCGGATCTTCTGTTGATAAAGTTGAGTTTTATTACTGTGGGTCGTGCCCTTTTCTTTTTCTGCTCAGCCATGGTATCAGTCTCTGCTTATGTCAAGTGCTCAGCTTCATTGTGTTACACCACTCAGATAGAGAGAGGCAGGCGTTTGTGTACAATATCGATAAAAATGATGTGAAGTACCATTCAAACACACAAATATATTCAGTGTTGCTTGTGGGGGTGAGTTTCTTAGATGGAGTTTTGATGTTAGTAGCATTCTGATGGCTCTGATTTCATTTTAACACATTTTCTTTCTGCCACAGGTGAACCAACAGGTCCGGTCTTTGTCGGATCATCAAAAGAGAAGTAATGCAAAGGACCTTTCTGTAAATAGAGACTTCCTTTCTTCTGGACTGCAATTAATCTTTGAAAGAACTCTGAATGCTTCTTCTTGAACTCTATGGACATCAAGCCCTGATCATTCAGCTCTTCTTTTTGGAGGACTCCATATGATTAGCCTTATGGGACCACAGGATTTATTCTCTGACATTGTACTGCTTGTAGTGGGATACAACGGTGAACTTTGCCTATGTGTTGATTTCTAGAGTAATATGTCCTCTACGGGGGATTTGCATCACAGGTTGACTGGAGAGAATGGCAGGTCAGTGTGTTGTAAGCATCGCAAATATTCAATACAAAATGTGATTTTGTTTTCTCAGTCGATTGTGGCTTTCTTCTCTAACAACGTGTAGTTTCAAAGGTTCAGATAAAGATTAAAATACGTGGCTGAGCAGCAGTTATTCAGGGTGATTTTCAAAGAAATACACAACCACATTCATCAGTGTGTCATTCATACTCTGCGCCATAACACAAAGGGAAAACAGACCTTATTTAGCTAATACTCAGCATAAAACCAATACACATTATGAGGAACGCTGACCTAAACCAGTGCTGTGGAAAGGTATAAACTGATCAAACCTACCAGCTGTTAACGGACAGAAAGTTGGATCCGGTCGTGGTTTATCTTTCCTTTGAAAATCACTCTGCCATTTCTTGCCGCTTCTGCCAGATTTTCTTTTTGTATCACAGCTCTGGAGTTCAGATTCTAGACAACAGCAGTGTAAATTAAACACACAGCATCTGGTCACTGGCTGTGTGATGACAGCAATGTTCCCAAAACTGTTTTTGACTAGTGACTCCAGTATGATTTGCTGATCACCTCTCAGTAGGTATTGCTGACACTTCCTTTGTCTGTGTAAGTGATGACATCAGTAATAAACTATGGTTGTGTAACTAAAGCCATGTGTCTTCTAAGCATTTGTGCGCTAACAATGACTGGTTTTTAGCCACATTAGCAGCATGGCTCATGGGATGGCAAGGCCAGTCTGTCTGTTATTGGTATTGGCAGGGTATGCCTTGTTGAATGTCATCAGCCTATCTGCAAATAACATGACATTCACCAATGGCAACGTTTTTCTGTTTTGTGTAACGGCATCCTGCCGTCAAGGGACAATAGAAAACATGTCTAGGACGAACAGAAAACAGAAAAAGGTGCATCTAATATCACTGTGGATAAAAAAATAGGGTTGTCACTATATTAGAATTTTAAACTTAAATACAATAGTACAACTAAAAAATGATCCTCGATACCCATTTCAATACCACGGCAAAAGGGAGCTTTAAAAAGGGTGTTTTAAATAACAACCTGCACACAGTGCTGGTACAGAAAAAGTCACTGAGCACACACCTTCAATCACATTGAGAGTTTGTTGCCCTAACGGCCACAGGTTTAGCACCAATACATTTTCTTCCCCTTTAAGTGCATTTCCATCCACCCCTTTTTATGTGCATTTTCCATCAGTGCATAAAAACCCTGATTGGAAATGTCCAAAATTCAAAAAACATTTCTAAATATTGCAAAAACATTTTTATGCTAGGGGGAAGCTGAAATGTAAATGCAACTCTGTGCAATGGAAACATTCAGTGAATAAATGATGACATACAGTCAGGAAGTAGAGTCACTGCATAGGGCAGTGCGAGCGCTCTTCATTGTCTCTCGAGGCTTTTAACAGCTCATGCATGCACACAGGACTGTTAGCAGAACTCTTCTTAGAGCACATAGCTGTAATATAAGTTGTTCAAAACTCTCTTTTTCCATTGTCCAGTGTGCTCTCTGTTATTACAGAACAAAAATTAAACATGACTGTTTTGTTTTTGCTCCAATTTTTCACAAGTCTAAGATAAAGATCTAAGACATTTTCATGCACTTAAGACATATTTCTCTTACAGAAGCGCATTACATTCACTGAATAAATAAAAAAATAGACACATGGTCTCGTAATTATGAGATCTTATGTCGTAATTATGACTTATCTCAATGCGCTTCCGTAGTCTACAGATATAATGCTTTTATTCTGAAACATGTTGACCGGAAGTACCTTCCTTGTGTTTCTCAGTGGACTCACTTTACAAATCAGCTTACGTTAATGTTATTACGATATCAGCGAAAGGCCTATTGTAGTACGACATAACATTTCACTAATGTAAGATGTCTCCAATGATGTTTACCTGAATTTGGCAGTACATCCAACCGGCTTCACAACTGCAGAAGTCAGTTATGACAATGAACTCCTGTCAGGTCAAGACCCTGATGAGGACAATGAGCCTACAGATAAATATCTCTGAGATGGTTTCTCATAGTTTGTACAGAAATTCTTCAGTTGTAAAAACCAATTGTTGCATCAATTGTTTGGGTAGCTAGTCTTACACGATTTTGCAGGTGAAGACACTGGATGTGAAGGTCCTGAGCTGGTGTGGTGACACGTGGTCTACTGTTGCAAGGCTGGTTGGATGTGCTGCCAAATTCAGGGAAACATCATTGGAGACATCTTATGGGAGTGAAATGAACATTTAATTGGCGGGCAACAGCTCTGATGGACATTCCTGCAGTCGGTATGCTCCCTCAAAACTTGTGACATCTGTGTCGTGTTGTGTGATCAAACTGCACATTTTAGAGCGGCCTTTTGTTGTGACCATGCCAAGACACACCTTGGTAGTAATGATGCTGTTTAATCAGTATCCTGATATGCCACACCTGTCAGGTGGATGGCTTGTCTTGGAAACAGGAGAGGTGCTCACTAAGACAGATTTTAAGAAATTTGCAACCCAAATTTGAGGAAAAATACCTTTTCAAATAACCCTTGAAAAATGGCAGCAAAAACAGGAGTGTTGCATTCAAATTTTTTGTCCATTGTTTTCCTTGATTTGAGGTTTGACTAGCACTCTTTTAATTCTGTCATCTCATCACGCCTTTGTTTTCTGCAGACTTTTGACTGGAGAAATAAGTTGAAAAGTGCATAAATTCACATTTAAATTGGCTGATTTTCTAAAAATCTGGTTAAAATTTGTACTGCATTTTTCGACAGGAACCCAAGTGCTGTTTCATCTGTGCAGCCTTGGATTAAAAATCTGACTGTAGATTTGTATTTTTTCATATCTTTTGTACTTTCGATACTATAAATTTACAGAGAATGTATCGTTTTAAACACAAAGTATAGAAAAAGTAATGTTGATGCTTTTGACAACTTTAGTTAGAAACACATTCCAATGTTTTTAACACACACCACTACGGCCTGCGGCTATGCATCATTTTGCTGAGTTGTTGATTGTGTATGTTGTGTTTAATTGATCCAGTCTTTTATTATCTGTTAATAACTTTCACTGATCATATAAAAACAGTGTATGAGCCCGTTGGTGAATAGGAATGTTGCTGTACAGAAATTATCAATCCATATTTTTCAGACCCCCGACAGCTGCAGAAAAAGTTTAAAGTGGCCCGATGACAGAATGTGAGTTCAATCAAGTTCAATCAGCTGCTTGCCTGTCAGCTCTAATTCCCTGGTAACATCAAGGGTCCTTTACAAACTTGTTACCTCAGAGGGGGATCCCCAAGTTATCAAATCAACAGCCAAAGTAGGTTTTCAGCAACTTTAAAAAAGCCCTGTCATGACTCATGTTATCACAGTGGGTGAAATCACGCAGTGTGAAGTGAAGCGTTTTGATGTAAACCAGCAGGCAAAATGGTCACTTTATTTTGAAATGCACAGCCCTGCAACAGATTTCTAACTGCTTTGTGGTTTCTTGTTAAATTGTTTCAAATGATTGTCTTTTTTATTTCACCCTGCCTTCCACAACAAGAGCACCATCTGTTATCCTCATGTTGACCCATTCTGAGTCCAATCGTTGTGCTCGGAAAAAATGAAACAGTCCTGTGAATAATGACTGTATCTCTTTGTTTATCCTTTGAGGGGAAGTGTTAACACTTGCTCCTCCTGAAATGCTCCAAAATTACAAGATGGTGCTTCATCAAAAAAGAGACACAACAATTCTCTGGCTAGATACGAGACAACACCACCAACAACACAAGTTTTTAAGGTTCAGCCTGACTTACTCTTTCCAAAGACATCACTATCTGTGACTGCTAACAAATGTCAATAAATCTGTTCAGCAATCACGGAACAAAAGGTGCTCCATTTAACTTCAGAACTTGCCAAAGAATCATGGTGCTTTGGTGTTTTCTTCAGCATCACAGTAGTCCAGTGATAACAGTCTGTACATCCATGGGTACTGTGCAAACATGAACTGCTAATACACGCACATACACACACAAACTTGTTGCTTAAGCTTAATGATCAATGAACAAAGGTCAGCTATCCATCATCACACATGCCGCATGTGTTGCACCCTCAAATTCATTGTTTTCAATGTAGATGCTTGGCAGGTGCTCTCAAACACCAGAGCGACACCGGCGTCGTGCATACGCATTCCCGAGCGCCCATTTTTCAGGGCGTGACAGCTGCGCCCCGAGATGAACTGAGTTCAACTTTTGGATCGCAGCAGGACGCGCCGCGTGTGATGTGATGAGGACAGAATATAGGATCCTTAAATGTTGATTTAAAAAAATATCAGCCATGCATAATTCCTAAAATAATTCAATAATGTAAACATAAGTTCAGTAAACCCAAATAACCTTTTTTTATGCAATCATTAAATGATGTGTTACCTGTGAGCTATTTCAGGCAGTCAATTCAAGCTGCACTGATTCATTCACACGTGTCACACCTAACTCTCCATATAACATCTACATACCTCTCAATCTGGCGGTCTATAAGCTGCAGAAATTTCCCTCTGCCTTGTCAGTGCCACTGCTGCCCTACATCAGTATTACTGCCTGCTCTTTCCACCCTACCTCCACCCCAGCATCCACCTGCAGCCTCCAGCTGAAGGGGGCAAGGATATTTAATCATCACTCCCCAATACCTGATGTAAACATATCTGTGGGGAGCGATGAGGCCGGAGTCTAGACGCCAACCATTAACTGTGCTCTGCTGTTGTATTAACCATTTCAAACTTAAGTCTGGCTAAACTGCTGCAACAAACATGATCACATTCATGTCTACATTTGTTCACTATGTGTTTCTGCTAGCACTGACATGATATCGGATTTTCATTGCACGATTATTGTGGCCAAAAAAAAATTCATGATAAGGATATTATTGCGTTATCTGTAGAAATTTTGGAGGAAAAAAAAGCTATTTTTTCACATCAGTCTTTAATGTTGTTTATTGTTTGTTTGGTCCATTTTAAGCAAATGAATTACACCAAAAGTATGAGTATAAGGAGTTGGAGAAAGAGTCTAAAGCCATAACTGTAAGGAGTAGACGCTGTACCAGGTTGTAGTAGTAGTACCAGGTTGGACCCCCTTTTGCCTTCAGAACTGCCTTAATTCTTGGT